GTAAATAAAAATCGTCCAGGCCGCTATCAATACACTATACCAGTGATATCACAATTCAAGCAATTGCTAATTAATCCTGAAAAAGGATTTTCAGATCCTCAACGGGATTTGAACATGTGGCCATTGAAACCCTGAAAACCTTTTTTCGGGATTAATTTGCAATTGTTTAAATTGCGATTACAACTGCAATGGTCACACCTTCATTTCACTTGTATTTCCGCAGTTCACTTCATTCATATTCCGCCATACACTAATCTATAAAACAGATTATTCTTGCTAAATGAATCTATTCTATACTTTTTTGTCGGCAGTGAAATGATGGCGACACGGTAAACCATTCAGATTACACTGAAAGCGCGAAATTTTCACTGAGAATTTAAAAAGTACGAGTAAACAAACATGATATTTATAGAAAACTACATCAAACTAACAAGTGTCAATTCCCCTCATTTGTAGTGTTGTTACTGCTTATCAGCAGCTAGAACAAGCAGTGCGAATTGAGCGTTAAAAATTTGCTTGGACACGTGATGAGGGTGTTTGCATCTTAAGCTTAGCGCATTACCCAGAGCCCCTTGGAAAAGCTGCTCTGCGTTTCATCGGAAAAACACAGCTAAAACACTGTACCTGTAGGTGACATCTGACGAAACTTTTGAACCTCTTCAAAAAACTTTATCGGACTTCACATTTTTTTTGAATAAAACAAATTCTGTTAACACTCAGTTCTGAGGTAAGTTGTATCAATTTTCTGTTGGTTTCTAGACCTAACACGAATCAATTAACTTGATTTTNTTAACACTCAGTTCTGAGGTAAGTTGTATCAATTTTCTGTTGGTTTCTAGACCTAACACGAATCAATTAAGTTGATTTTCGCATCTAGTGTTTCCATTAAACGGCTACTCATGTTGATGATAGATGTAAACGCGGTTTGCTTTTATTCTAGCATTTCGGCTTTCCCAACTGGTTCTTTTCGTCAGAAAATGCATTCTCTAGAAACTTATGCCTTTTTCTATTCGAATACCCCCAGAAATTAATTGCTTCTACGATCACTTGCTTTGTTGCCTTGAAAGCATCACATCCCTTGTTACGGATAGATTAGAGCCGGTTTGCGTTTTTTTCCCCTTAAGGTTACAGTATACCTTCAGGGGTGTCTCGCGCGCAAGCGATGTAGCGCGTGCAGTTAAGTTGTAGATACCTAAACCCCTATGTCAAATTAAAGCTTATGGAACTGGCTATCAAACTATACCAAGACATTTAAAAGAAAATGAATTGTCGAAT